AAAGTTTTAAAGATGTTTAAGGCATTTATAGCATGAATATCTTATAATATGCAAGAAAAAATATCAATCTTTGTCTACTATAACTTCTGTTAAAATAAGACACAGTAGAAAAACAAACAGAAAAGATGTTGATGAAGGACACTAATAAATATATACTTATAATTTCCTTTTTGTTTTTGTGGCTGGCCAGTATGGGAATCTGAACCCTTAACCTTGGTGTTATAACACTGTGCTCTCACCAACTAAACTAACCGGCCAGCCCCTAATTTCCTTGCACATAAATGTAGAGAATATTTTCCCTGGTTCATATGAGCATCTGCCAGAATGTTAAAGTCCTTTGATATAAAACTGTTTTAACTGGTAATTAAACAAAACCTTTAACAGAAAAAATTTGTTTTCATGAATTTTTAATCATACTCCAAAACTTTCTATCCACAAGTACACATGAAAAAAATACTCAAGATGAACTGCACTGTAAACTTCTGACATGACAGTGCACGCAGAACTGTTTGCTCTGCCCTGGCTCCCACACCCTCTTCTTTGCAAGTACCCTACCAGAAAGAAAGGGTTTAGCAACCGTATCAGTCCCCATCCCACTCTTCAGGAATTAAGCTAAATGTAGAAATCTGCACTAACTGAGCCATCAGATTCTCTTCTGAAAAAATTAAATCTAAATTTTTGAAAAGAAAAACTGGTAAAAACTAAAAAAGGTTTAGTTAATATTGTACCAATGCTAATTGCACAGCTTTGATAAATGCATCTTAGTTATATAAGATATCGACATTAAGGGAAATTAGGTGAAGAACATACAGGAAACTCTGTACTATCTTTGCAACACTTCTGTAAATCTAAAATTATTTCAAAATACATTTTTTTAAAATTCACATTAAGACATGACCAAGTCAAGAGATGGTAATTGCTCGATACTACAAAGTTATGAGGCCTCTGGAACTAGAGAAACTAGTGTGCACCATTATGAAAATAGAAAGTATCCAGAGAGAAGCAGGAGCATAGAACAGAAAATCTCTTGGGAAACCACATAGACAGACTAAAGAAAAGAAAAGAAACATATACCCATAGATATTGGAAGCGATTCAGAGACA